TCTCCTCAAGGACCGCAAGACCCGCTTTGTGTGGGTCCGCCCGATCGCGAAGAAGAGCGATGTGCTGGTCGTTTTCGAGAAGTGGCTGAAGGAAGTGGAGCGGCAGACTTCGAAGTCGGTGAAAAGGCTGCGCTCTGACCGCGGAGGGGAATTCCTCGGCCGGGCCTTCACCGATCTCGTCGAGGACAAGGGTATCCTCCACAACCTCACGTGCCCCTACACTCCGCAACAGAATGGCATGGCGGAGCGGGAGATGCGCACGGTCGTCGAAGCTGTGCGGACGATGCTGCTTCACATGGGGGTGAAGCATCACTGGTGGCACCTCGCCCTTCGCCACGCCGTCTGGGTGCGCAACTGCCTCGAACGGGCTTCACTTCCTCCGAGGACGACGCCGTACGAGCTGCTGTTCGAGAAGAAGCCGGATCTCACGCTGGCGCGCGTGTGGGGCTGCATGGTGCAGTTCATGATCCCAGAGCAGCAGCGCGGCGGAAAGTTGGCACCGAAGGCCCGCTGGGGAATTCACCTCGGAGTTTCGCCGGAGAGCAAGGGATGGGAGGTGCTCGACCTCACCGCCAACCGCATTGTCACAACCGTGGAGGCAATCTTCTATGAGGCGATGTCTCTGGAGGAGTGGAAGGTGGAGCACGGGCCCGAGCGGACGAAGTTTTCTCCGCCGACGGGTCCGTTGCCAGCGGCGATTTCGTTGCTCGAATCCGAGGACGATGGTGCTTCTGCAGATCCTTCTCCCTCCATTCCGCCCTCGTCGAAACCTCCTCCTCCTCTTCCCGTCTCCCCCCCATCGCTCGCCCCCGGCCTGCCTAAGTCGGCATCATCGTCGGCCGCCAGCGATGAGGGGAGCATTGGTGTGTCACCTTCGGCTCCGCCCATTGGCATCGCTGGCGGTCGACATGATCTGGTCAGCGAGCAAGTCGGCGCCGGAGTGAAGTTTCCACCAACAGGGGAGACGTCGAACGGGAAGCGCGTTTCAGAGAAGCTGCCGACAGGGGAGATGCCAGACGGGAAGCGCGTTTTAGAGGAGCCATCGACAGGGGAGCCGTCGAACAAGGAGCGCATTTCAGAGAGCCGTCGAACGAGGAGCTCACTTTGAAGGAGCGAACGACAGGGGGGCAGTTCGACGATGGCACATCGAGCGACGTTGTTGAAGTCATCGGCAGCGATGAAGGGGAGCCATCGGCCAAGGAGCAGTCCAGCAGCGACAGCGACGTGGTGGAAGTCTCGGCCGACAAGCCTGCAGTTCGACGTTCCACCCGCTCCAACTTTGGCAAGCCTCGCGAGAAGCTGAGCTACCATGCTTGCCTGCCGCCGACCTCCTACAGCACTCTGCTCGATGATGCGCAGTTCGACGTCAACGTACCCGAGCTCGATCCCGATATGCACGCCGATCCAGAGCACCGCTGGGACATCGCTAACATGACAGTGAAGGAGGCGTTAGCGAGCTGGAAGGGCAAGGCGGTGAAAGCGGCGATGGACGAGGAGATTCGAAGTCTCATCACCAACGGCACTTGGGAGCTGGTGGAGCGCCCGCGCGGCGTCAATGTCATGAAGAACCGCTGGGTACTGACAACAAAGTACCATGTCGATGACACGGTTGCCCGCGAAAAGGCGCGCCTGGTGGTGAAGGGCTTCACGCAGGTCCACGCAGCTGATTACGACGAGACGTACGCTCCAGTCGGGAGCTACGTTACGCTACGGATTTTCCTTAGCATCGTCGCCGTCCTCGATCTGCACCTCATGCAGTTAGACATGAAGAATGCGTTTCTACAGAGCAAGCTCGATCGCGTGCTCTACATGGACCAGCCGGCTTACTACAACGATGGTACCGGCCGAGTATGCAAGCTGCTGAAGAGCCTGTACGGGCTGAAGCAGAGCCCTCTGCTATGGTACTCTGCGCTCGACGCTGTGCTGACTGGCGCTGGTTGGAGCAAGAGCCAGGTCGACGAGGCCCTCTATTTCCGAGTTGGCGACGACGGAGTGGCGTGCTGGGTGCTCGTCTACGTCGACGACCTGCTCGCCGCCAGCAGCAGCACCGTGATGCTGAAGGAGCTAAAGGAGCTGCTAGAGGCTGCCTTTGAGCTGCGCGAGATCACCCCGGTCGAGAAGTACTTGGGGCTCGAAATCGTGCGTGACCGTCCGGCGATGAAGCTGTGGCTTCAACAGCAGTCCTATGTCGACATGCTGCGTAGGCGCTTCATCGACGAGGAGCAGACTGGTCGGCGTCCGAAGACACCTGTTTCCGTCGACGCGTATGCCGAGCTGACTTTCGACGACGATGACTTTCAGTCACGCAAAGAAGAGGAGTATCGTCAGAAGGTCGGTTCGCTGCAGTTCGCTGCCACAACAACTCGGCCCGACATCGCTTTTGCGTGCAGCAAGCTGGGATCTGGTCTGACGGTGAGGAGCGACAACCACTGGCGTGAGGTCGATCGCTGCCTCAACTATCTGTCGGACACGCGTGATGTTGCTCTGGAGTTCGGAGGAGGACCGGAGACTCTGACACTGGTCGGCTACGCGGACGCTGACGACGCAGGCGACAAGCAGAATCGCACTAGCACGAATGGCTACGTTTTCACATTCGGCGGCGCAGCTGTCTCCTGGACAAGCCAACGCATCAAGTGCGTGACTCTGTCCTCTACGGAGTCAGAGTACATCGCGGCCACCGAAGCAGCCAAAGAGGCTCGCCGACTTCGATTTCTCCTCGCCGAGTTTCAGTTCCTCGATGCTGGGACGCCAACTGTTCTGATCGTGGACAACCAGTCCGCCATCGCGGTCGCTGAAGGCTTGGGGCTGAAGGGCAACCTCAAGCACATGGAAGCGCAAGAAGGTTGCGCTGGAATACATCCCAACATCCGAGCAGCCGGCGGACTTCCTCACAAAGGGTCTGCACTTTCCGGCCTTCAACCGGTGCTCTGTCGCGGTCGGCCAGGTTCGCCTTGCCGAAATTGGCGACGACAATGACAACGTGCAGCTGTAGGTGCCATATCCTCAAACATGGCTGGTGCGGTGGTCGGCGTGCGGGAGTGTGCACGCCAGAGAAATGTCCCCTTGTATTCTATTAAGTATGTTCTTGGTGGACCTTGTGTGTCGGGGCCAAAGCTCGAGCTGGGCAGGGGAGTGTCGAGGAGAAAAGGCCCCGCCCTCGCTTGGGCGAAGTCGGCCATGCTTTTCGGAGCACAACGGTGTTCGTTTCATGGTCATCGGCGACTTCAGGGACTTTTATCTCTAAACGACGGGTCGATTTTCGACGACATTAATTCGTCGAAATTGAAGTGTTGTTTCTGCTCTACGCAACTGCCCCTCGACCAGGCACTTGTCGAGGGGAGCAAAACGGCGTCGAAATCGAGCCTTGCGGGTCGACGAAATGGTAGAAAACAGCGTTTCGACGAAACGCTGGTCGACAGAATTAAGCTCGAAACAGGCACCGTCGAGCAGAGCGTTGCTGGTCGACAAATTTACTTGTCTTTAAAATTCGCAATGTGCGCGAATTTCGACCAATCGCGAAACAGCAAATTTCGACCAATCAGAGAATTTCGGAAATTGTACTCCCCAGGAGATCTCGTATCAGTAAGGGAACTGAACCTGAAACACGTTTTTACTAACAGTAAAAACGTAAACAACTCTGAAAGCTGTAAACCTGAGAAACTGCCAACTCAGGTGAAAGACACATGTGCTTGTCGTTTCACCTGCCGTTGCTGACTCGGATAAGTCAGGTGTTAGCCGAGGAACATTTCTCTAGGGTTCATTGTTCTTGCTATTTGGTTCTCCTTGCTTGTACCATAATCTTGTTCTATCAATTTTTCCTAGTGAAACTATGCTTGAATTCTACCAAGGCATTCCAACACTCTGTCAAGAATCACTGCCAGAACTCTGACCGTGCGTCCCACGCAATTCAGCTCTCCCGTAGAATAGAATTCTCCTCAGTCGCGCGGGTCCTAGGGCGACGCGACGGGCAGGGCAGGGCGTCGCGCGGGTCCTAGGGCGACGCGACGGGCAGGGCAGGGCGTCGCGCGGGTCCTAGGGCGACGCGACGGGCAGGGCAGGGCGTCGCGCGGGTCCTAGGGCGACGCGACGGGCAGGGCAGGGCGTCGCGCGGGTCCTAGGGCGACGCGACGGGCAGGGCAGGGCGTCGCGCGGGTCCTAGGGCGACGCGACGGGCAGGGCAGGGCGTCGCGCGGGTCCTAGGGCGACGCGACGGGCAGGGCAGGGCGTGCGCGGTCAGGGCAGGGCATGCGCGGGGCAGCACGATGCAGGCAGGGCAGCGCGTGCACAGGGCGGCGCGACGCAGGGCAGGGTGTGCGCGGGGCAGCGCAACTCGGGGCAGGGCAGGGCGTGCGCGGGGCGGCGCAACGCAGGGCAGGGCAGGGCATGCGCTGGCAGCACGACGCAGGGCAGGGCGTGGGGAAGCGCGGTAACCGCAGTCGGTCACTAGCTAATGGTGGGCCCGGAAAAAAAAAAAAAAAAAAAACGGTCCTACGGACCTACTGCTCTGAAACCATGTTAGAATCAACGAGCAGGTCTGTGTCTATTGAATGAAAGGTGGGTACAAGTACTAACCCTAACTTTGGGTTGTACCCCATATGGGCTACCCCACTATAGCCTACACAACACTAACACACATATATAGTTTGACATCTCACCCACCCACAAATGCTCTTTATGAACACATCCGTCACCCTAAACCATTCCATGCGAAGCACCTCAGAGCTTGCTCAAGCTACAGTGCTTAGGGAACCACCAAGAGCAAGTCTACCCGAATGGCAGCTTAAATAGCATTCTCAAGAGTAAGCTATGCTAGCTTGGCTCACTCACCCTCTCCCACCCATCCTCTCTTGCTTACCCTCTTTCTTAATATCTCGCTCACACCCTCTCTCTCGTTCAACCTGTCTCACTCACACTCTATCGCTCACATCTTCCCACCCACCCTCTCTCACCCTCGCTCTCCCTCACCCTTTATCACGCACCCTCTTTCATGCTCTAAGCCACTACACACATTGGCGCACCTTGTTGAACAGATCCTCGTTCAGCTCCTCAAAGCATGCCCGCATGATGGTGCCGTGGAAGTCGATGCTCTCGTGCAGCGAATCGATCTCAACTGTCGCCTGCGGCACCGAGGATTGAGCACACTTGGCCCGCTCACACGCCATCCTGAGGCGGCGCATGGCAGCAGGGTCGTTGTTCATGTCCTTCTTGTGCTTGCGCTCAAACTCCTCGGGGGTTGTGGGAGGAGGAAAGAAGGGTTTAAGGGCACGGAAGGGGTGAGCAAGGGGGACAGAACGCGACGTGAAGGGGCGAGGCTAGACATACGGCACACAGCCTTCAATAGACGGGGAACTTATGACACATGGTGTGGCATGGTGTGCAGTGGTGTGGGGAAGCGCATGGTGAAACGGAGGAGATGAAGGGGAGTTGAGGGAAGCAGAGGGTGAGCGAATGGGGGAAGCAAAAACTTTGAATGGTGTGGCATGCTGTGATGAGAAGCCGATGGAGCTGATTTTCACCACGTGGCAAGTTGAGCCATTAATCTATCCCTATACAAATATGATTTGATAGCTCACAATCAAATTGACTCACCAGCACATGCTGACTCACCAGCATACACCGACTCACTTTCACAAAGTGCTTGACCTGCCGGTCGTCACAGTCCTCCCCTCCCAAATGCGTGTTTCCCACTGTCGCCTTCACCTTGATAACCCCCTCATGGATGCTCAGGATCGACACGTCATAGGTGCCGCCACCCATGTCAAAGACGCGCATGTTATTCATGTTCAACCTAGTCGCGATTGCATTCTTGAGGCGCGCCATCAACCCAGCCGCGCTTGCCTTCTCGAGGCGCGCCATCAACCCAGCCGCGCTTGCCTTCTCGAGGCGCGCCATCAACCCAGCCGCGCTTGCCTTCTCGAGGCGCGCCATCAACCCAGCCGCGCTTGCCTTCTCGAGGCGCGCCATCAACCCAGCCGCGCTTGCCTTCTCGAGGCGCGCCATCAACCCGGCCGCGCTTGCCTTCTCGAGGCGCGCCATCAACCCAGCCGCGCTTGCCTTCTCGAGGCGCGCCATCAACCCAGCCGCGCTTGCCTTCTCGAGGCGCGCCATCAACCCAGCCGCGCTTGCCTTCTCGAGGCGCGCCATCAACCCAGCCGCGCTTGCCTTCTCGAGGCGCGCCATCAACCCAGCCGCGCTTGCCTTCTCGAGGCTCGCCATCAACCCAGCCGCGCTTGCCTTCTCGAGGCGCGCCATCAACCCAGCCGCGCTTGCCTTCTCGAGGCGCGCCATCAACCCAGCCGCGCTTGCCTTCTCGAGGCGCGCCATCAACCCAGCCGCGCTTGCCTTCTCGAGGTGCGCCATGAACCCAACTGCGATTGCACTCGGGCTGTCCGCCTTCTCAGCCAATCCGTAAGCGATCGCCGCTGCAGTGAGCTCGTTAATTATCCTCAATACGTTCAACCCCGCCTTACCGCCTGCGTTCTTAGTCGCCTGCCGCTGCGACTCGTTGAAACTCGCTGGGACAGACACCACCACGTCCGTGACTTCAGAAATTTCCTCAGGTGAGAACCATCGGAGAAATTTCCTCAGGTGTGAACTATTTGCGCTCTCCCTTGTGCTGCACTTTGATCATAGCCTTGCCCTGTGGCCCAGAGACGACCTTAAACGGCTAGTGCTTCATGTCCGCTTGTACAAAAGGGTCCAATAAACGCCGCCCGATTAGACACTTAGTATATGAAAAACGAGGGAAAAGGGGGGAGAAAGGGATTGGGGGAAGGGGAAAGGGGGTAGAGCAGGATGGAGAGAGAGGCAGAAAGAAGAGCAGGGGTGTGGGAAGTAACAACAATTGGCAGAGGTGGAAAGAATGTAAGGAAGTGGAAGAGAGGAGGGGAGAGGCGGAAGGAAGGAGCAAGGGGCGAACGGGAGAAACACTCAATAGCAAACCACACATACCTAAGCCAGTCTTGGTGAGAGTCACAGCCAGTGCGCACTTGGCAACATCCCAACCAACTCAGGGAGTCATGTCATCAAGCGACGTGATTATCGCCAAGCATCCCACCACAGTTATTATAGTCATTCAAGTGACACTATGCATCACATCACACGACGCATCACATCATACTTACAGAAAACAATGTTGGCGGGATTTGCAGCCACTTGGCTCTTCGCTGCATCGCCAATCAGCCGCTCAGTGCCAGCGAAGGCCACCATGGAGGGCGCGCTTGCTATGATCTCCACCCGGTCGCGCTGTCACACGCCCATGCGACTGTAGCTCGTTTCCAGGTCGATGCCGATGGCCGTCTCGCTGTGAGCAAGAGACATTGTGGTGAAAGTACTAGTAATATTGGGGAAAATGTAGCCGAAAATAACGGGAAGTTGAAATCAGCACTCGACGCGCGGCAAACAAGCAGAGGCACCTTTTGAGGCTCCTAAAAAAGAGAGCCAGTGCGCAGATTCTTGAAGGAGGAGAAGCCGCGAACGTCGCGAGAGATTGCTGACGCAATAAGAGAAGTGGAAGTAGCGGTGGTTGGATGGAGGGGATTTGAAAGTGTACGAACGACTAGACGAAACTTACCGAAAATAAAGGGACCCCCTCAGGCGTGTGTGCGAGAAGTAACCTTATGGTATGGGAAACGGAATGCGATGCGGAGTGTCAGAATATTGTGTTGTGTAGGCTGTAGTGGGGTAGCCAATATGGGGTACAACCCAATTAGGGTTAGTACTTGTACCAAACTGCTTCATAGCTCATTCATTCTCCTGCTAGATTCTGACATGGTTTCAGAGCAGGTCCTATTCCAACACCATTTTTTTTAGGGCCCACCGTACAGTTCCCTGCCCGTAGCGCGTTACCCTGTTCATAGCGCCCTACCCTGTCCGTCACGCTGCTCCATCAGTCGCGCTCCCCTGTCTGCGCGCCGCCCTGCTGGCTGCCGCGCTACCTTGCCCTGCCCTGTGTTGTGCTGCCCAGCGCGCGCTATGCCCTGCCCTGCGTTGCGCCGCCCCGCGCACGCCCTGCCCTGCGTCGCGCCGCCCGCGCGCGCCTAGCCCTGCCCCTCGTCGCGCTGCCCCGCGCACGCCCTGCCCTGCCCTGCGGTGCGCTGTCCTGCGCACGCCCTGCCGCGTGTCGCGCAGCCCGCGCACGCCCTGCCCTGCGTCGCGCCGCCCGCACGCGCCTGGCCCTGCCCGCGCGCCGCCCTTTGCAGCCCGTGCGCCGCCCCTGGCAGCCCGCGCGCCGCCCTTGCAGCCCGCGCGCCGCCCTTTGCAGCCCGTGCGCGGCCCTTTCCTGCCCGCGCGCCGCCCTTGTAGCCCACGCACCACCCCTGGCAGCCCGCGCGCCGCCCCTTGCAGCCCACGCGCCGCCCCTTGCAGCCCGCGCGCTGCCCTTCCCTGCCCGCGTACCGTCCTTGCAGCTCGCGCACCGCCCCTGGCAGCCCACGCATCGCCCTTTGCAGCCCGCGCGCTGCCCCTTGCCTGCCCGCACGCCCTCCCCTGCCCGCGCGCCGCCCTACTTGCAGCGCGCCGCCCTCCTCTGGCCGCGCGCCGCCCTTCCCTGACCGTGCGCCGCCCCGCCCTACCCTACGCGCTAACCCTTGTGCCCGCTTGCCGCCGTGCCTTCCCTGCGTGCTGCCCTGCTGGTCGCACGCCAACTTGCTTTACCCACTATGACTTCTCTTCGTGGTAGCAGTGGGAGTGGTGGCGGCGGTGGTGGCAGCAGTGGGAGTGGTGGCGGCGGCCGTAGTGGCAGTCGCGGTGGAGCTGTTCAGTGGGGAGTTTCTGGCAGTGGCCAGATGCAGCTGCAGCGTGGTCCGCAAGAGACCCTTACGTCCCAGCAGCTTCGTGAGTGGTACGCTCAGCGTGGGGCGTCTCGGAGTAATGCTCGCTGCTCATACGTCATTCGCACAAGTGATCGGGCTGGTCAGACTTGCGGGACAGTTGGCCACACACAGTCCCGCTGCTTCTCCTGTCTGAGCGACGCCTGGCGCGCAGAGTTTGGCGACGAGGCTGAGCTCCCCCACTGGCTAGAGCTGCTTCAGAACAATGTGGATATATTTGCTCTAGACTATGACGCTATCCTCACTGCCATGTATGCTTTGACTGTTGGTACTGAGGGTGACTGTTACCTGTGTGTGCCGCCCGACCCTGGTATAGAGGCTGCTACTCTAGGTGCTAGTGAGTCTGCTCTCTCTGGTACTGCTCCTGCTGAGGCCTTGCACACCTTCACGCTTGACTCAGGTGCTTCCCGTTGTTTCTTTCGCGACAGTACCACAGTCACACCACTCCCTGCACCTGTTGCAGTCTCTCTGGCTGACCCCTCCGGGGGCCCAGTTCTTGCACGTTCCTCCACTGTAGCCCCTTGTTCGTGTAGCCTCCTCTCCCACCAGACTCTCCTCTGGCACCACCGCCTTGGTCACCCCTCCCTGCCACGCCTCCGTGGCATGCACTCCTGCCTCCTTGTCTCTGGCCTTCCCAGGTCTCTGCCCCCCCTCCCGCGCTCGCCTGCCCCGCCCTGCCTTCCTTGCGTCGAGGGGCGGCAGCGCGCCGCTCCTCACTCTTCCTCGTTTCCCCCGACACAGGCTCCCCTGCAGACTCTCCACATGGACGTGTGGGGCCCAGCCCGTATCCAAGGACAGGGCCGTGAGCGATACTTTCTGCTGGTTGTTGACGACTACACGCGTTACACCACGGTCTTCCCCTTGCGCAGCAAGGAGGAGGTCCTTGCTGTTTTGATCCCCTGGATCCGCGCTGTCCGTCTCCAGCTCCGCGAGCAGTTCCGTACGGACCTTCGTGTCCTGCGTCTACACTCTGTCAGAGGTGGTGAGTTCTCCTCCGACCTCTTGCGGGACTTTTGTCATGGGGAGGGCATCCTCCAGTCGTTCACGCTTTCGGACTCCACCACAGCAGAATGGGATTGCTGAGTGCCGCATTGGCTTAGTCATGGAGGTGGCTCGTACCTCCATGATCCATGAAGTTGCTCCCCATTTTCTGTGGCCGTTTGCGGTCCGGTACGCTGCGCACCAGCTCAACCTCTGGCCCCGTGTCTCCTTGCCGGAGACCTCGCCTACACTGCGTTGGACGGGGGAGGTTGGTGATGCGTCGGTGTTCGGGGTCTGGGGCGCTCGTGCCTTTGTCCGCGATACCTCCGCGGACAAGCTCTCCTCCCGCGCCATTCCCTGCGTCTTCCTTGGCTTCCCCCTTGACGCGCCTGGCTGGCAGTTTTACCACCCTACCTCGCGCCGTGTCCTGTCCTCTCAGGACGTCACGTTTGACGAGTCCGTCCCCTACTACCGTCTCTTCCCCTACCGCACTGCCCCTCTCCCCCCCCCGCCGCTCTTCCTCGCTCCAGGTCCCCCTCCGGTAGACCCCCTCCCCCCTCAGGGTCCTGCTCCTTCAGGTGTCTCTCAGGTAGACCCACTTCCCTTGGCTGAGCCTGTCGAGGTCACTGGTGACTCTGGTGCTGCTGGGGGTGGTGCTGAGCCTGCGGGTCCGGAGCCTGGGGGTGCTGAGCCTCAGTGTGAGGAGCATGGGGGTACTGAGCCTGCGGGTGCGGAGCCTGGGGGTGCTGAGCCTGAGGGTACTGAGCCTGGGGGTGCTGAGCTTGGGGGTGCTGAGCCTAGTGGTATTGCGTCTCCCCGGTGGGAGCCTCTCTCACCACAGCAGCTGCGCGAGTGGTTTGCTCAGCGCACCCGCCTTCGTGGTGGCGCTGCTGGGGCTGGAGACACTGGAGCTGCTAGTCGTGGGGGTGCTAGAGGTACTGCTGGAGCTGGAGGTACTGGGGGTGCTGGAGCTACTGGTCCTAGAGGTCCTACAGGTGACTCGCCACAGCAGTCTAGTCGGCAAGAGCCTCTCTCACCACAGCAGTTGGGTGAGTGGTTTGCTCAGCGCACCCGCCTTCGGAGTGGCGCTGCTGGAGCTGGAGGCGCTAGACCTGGAGACCCTGGAGTGGGAGGCTATGGAGTTGGAGGCATTAGGGCTGGCGGCCCTGGAGCTGGAGGCGCTCCGGCTGGAGACGCTGGAGCTGCTCGGGGTGCTGCGTCTGGGGGTGCTGAGCCTGGGGGTGCTGAGTCTGAGGGTGCTGAGCCTGGTGGTGCTGCGTCTGCTGGTGGTCCTCCGGGTGCCTCGCCGCAGCGGTCTGGCCAGCAAGAGCCTCTCTCACCACAGCAGTTGCGCGAGTGGTTTGCTCGGCGCACCCGCCTTCGGAGTCGCGCTGCTGGAGCTGGAGGCACTGGAGCTGGAGGCACAGGTGCTGCAGGCGCTGGAGCTGGGGGCGCTGGCGCTGGAGGCACTGACACTGGAGGTGCTGGAGCTGGAGGCACTGGAGCTGGAGGCACTGGCGCTGGAGGCGCTGGAGCTGGAGGCGCTGG